AGTGGGTAGCCAATGTTATAGTTTGGCCCGATTTTCCTTCACTTACCCTTTTGGACGCCACTCTATTTTTTTAGGCGAATAGAGAAACCTTTAGATCAAACCTAATTATTACTTGACTTCTTTGTTAGCTGAAACGAAATTATACTGTCCAAAACTTAAATTCCAACAATAAAACTCAAAAGATATTTAATACAAATAACATTTAATGGAAATCTCCAACGATAAAAAGACAATTATCTGATTAAGACCAATCAATAATTATTAATATGATGTAAAGGGTTTAATAAAAAAATGAGGAAAAATAACTAGGAGTTACAGTATCCCATTTTAGGATTTATTAAAGAATTATGTAAGCTTCGCTTGGAGATCTTAATTCCAAAGAAGGAAACATGAATAATAACCTAATTCAGGGACTACCTAAGTGATTTGATTCTAGAACCTTTCACGGTAATCCGCATTAATTGTTATGGGGTTATTTTAAGATCCAAGGGCCACTTTTATAGTGATAATAATATTTTGCTGATCAATTTAAATCTTAGTATAAGATTAAATAAGTTTGAAAAATAATAAAAAAGAATTTAAAATAATAAAAAATGGTGCACTAGCCTTAATCCAGCTGGAGACTCCATAACATCACAACTTGTGAAATTCCACCCTAGGAATTCATCCCCAAAACTCCAGTGACATCACAACCACAACCATATCGTTGAAGGCCTCAACGATTGTACCCCAAACTTAAACTTTCAATTCCAACACCAGGTAAGTAAGTATCTTCAAAACAGTTTGTGAAAATCCACATCATCCAAGGATTAGATTTAAACTGAAGCTCAAATTTAAGCTCAAACTTAGGCTCAAATTTAGGACTCTAAAAGAAATATACTCTTCAATATTTTTCCAACCACAAAAAAAACACCGAAAGTCTCACCTCTTTAGGACACTTTAGCAAGCCAAATTTAACAAAACTGATACGTCCTTGACATCTCCATAATCCAACAAGCCTTAGAGGGATTCTAAAAAAGGATGAAAATTCCTATTTACAGGTATGCAACAGGTAATGTTGAAAAACGACCTACCTCAATAAAATCCACTAAACCTCCTCAAACAGCAGACCATCGGGCCAGGAAAATAACTGGAGCCTGTCAATGGACCCAGGGCCGATTCGTTGCGGGAAATCTTGTCGGGATTTTTCCAACGAAAATTCGGGATCGGCCACCAAATTAGCACAGGCTCAGGGAGCAGGATCTTCGCCCCTCAAACGCCAGCCGACCAAAAACCCCCAGAAAGGTTCTAATGAAACCCCAAGAAACTTCCACCGGTCAATTCACCAACGTCATATGACAACCCAGTACAGCCAGGTCGTAATTGAAGAATAAATCAAACTTAGGCTTTTCGCACACAGATGTCGGCAGGTGAAACCAAGGATAATGAATTTGAACGGAAAGTTCGCAACTAGGACCATCGAACACGTCATCAGTATGCCAATATTCGGTTGATTTGTTATGGCAAGAAACGAACGATAAACAAAACCAAAACAAACATAGTGAAAATAATAAACCTTGTAGCATTTGCTACTTATCGGCAAAATAAAATGCTACAAATTAAAATACAATAGTGACAATCGGAAAATATGTGGATCAAATGGCTACAGGGAGTGCCTGAAAACAAATGAACGCTCCTTACTGGAAAGCTCTGGCTTAAATAATAAATATTTGCTGATCCAAGCATTTTCCTATGCAGGTGGTGGTACTACCAGTGCAGTACCGCTGATTAAGCAGTTTTATATATTTATTAGTATTGACATAGGGTCTTACAATATAACTACAGTAAACGCGGTATTACATCACATCTGCTTTAAAAAAACTTAACCATTTACGATGCCGAAAACTTAAGTAATAAAAATCTAATATTTATTAAGGAATTAAAATATAAAAATACAGTATATAAAAAACATTTCTTTTCATTTTCAAAATCTTTGAAACTGTATGAAATTGTAGAAATTGCAGTTGAGGACAAAAAAAACGTGAAAGATTGCTATCTTATATGCGTTGAACATAAAATTGAAAGCAAAATAAATACTTATTTTCAATCTTTCAAAGTAAAAAATAAAACTAATTTTTTTAACATATTTTATACAAAGTTACATGAATTTCATTACGCACCCATTCATTTGTATGAATCACCTAATGGACATTCTTATGTGAGACCCAAAAACTATTAATTCTTAGATTAGCTTTTACACTCCTAGCCTCCTAAGTAGCTATTTTTTAAGTATGTATTTTTTTGTTATTGTGTATGTACTTATTCAAATTAAATTATATAGGGATTTTTTTTTACATTTTATTTTGGGTTAAATAGAAGCGTTTTCGAGCTTGTTGTTAAAATAAGAAGAGTGGCTACTTTAATTTGATCATAGTGACCAGCTTCAATAAAAATAATTTAAAAAGAACAACTCAAACTCTTACTCCACAAATACTTTAATATATTCAAAAAGCCCTACATATTTCGAGATTGGAGAATCTCACCATCAGGGGCAAATTAGCTCAGATATTAACAAGGGTGGATATCATAGTCTGCCAGATCAAGCTACAGAAAATAAATGAATTTAGTTTTGAGTTTAAATAAGAAAAAGGTAGAAGAAAATCAGGATCAAGAATGTAAAAAGGACTATTTTGTAGAGGACTACTTCTTCAATTTAATAAATATGATTTGATGTTAACTTTTTTCTTTTCAGATCGACATGGATTTCAATGTGGCTTTTCCAAATAAAGACGATCCATTTAAAATATGGGACAACTCTGTGGAGAAAATTATCAAATTCTTATGCAACAACACACATGTTAAAGATAAGAATATACGTGGCCTATTATCGGAAATAAATGAAAACATCAGTAAAAGTAAGTTCAAGTTTAGGAACTCGGACAAACAATTTTTTTTTTGTTGGAAACACCTTGTATATTATCAATATTTATTATGATTTTGTCAATTTTCTAACTTTTTCATAAATAATTTTCAGTTCTATTAGCCGTGTTGCTTTAAATCTAAATTGTTGAATTTGCTAACAAGACTCATGAATGCGAGATGATTTTTTCCTAACTATTCATAGGCTATCTTTAGATATTTTAAATTTCTACCAAAACTGAGCTAACTCTGCGACTAAGTGCGAATTATTGCATTCTTATAGATCATCGGGATGTAACTGTAATGTGGTCTCTTCATGGATTTTTGTTCCTGTTAATAAACTCATCAAAAAGGATGGAAGAAAAAAGTCACTTCCAAATACACAATTAAAGATTCCTAGGAATCTTTTATTTACATTGGGAAATCGACACATGAATACGATAACCATTTAGATTTTTTGAAACTGGAAAGAGAGGCCATATAACCTTTTATATTAGCTATTGGCGAGAGTGTTAAATCAATCACTGAAATTTATGTACATTTTGATGGAATCAAATTTGTATTGCACAATTTTTTACGGGCGGTTGATATATGTTCCAAGATATTTTACGTTTTTAATTCAGATTTACCAAAGCAAAGCATAATGTTTTGGAATTTTTTAGAAACTTTTATATACAAATTCAAATCGAATCACTCCTTTTCAAAAGTCCATGTTGAATGTTGATGTTCTTTTTTTTTCAATTATCATGAAATTGAATCGTAAAAATTGCACATTGTTGACAAAGTGCAATTTTCACGATGCAAGTTCAAGATAATGAAAAAAAAAAAAAAACTTATACATTTTTGTAAAGTTGAATAATCGGGCTTTATGACAGTGACAAAATATATAGGGTGTTTGATTAAAAATGAGGCAGTCATTTTATTTCAAAAAATCGCATGTCGGTGAAACCAAATTCAACCAACTTTAGGATTCGGCAATAGGCACTGTAAAAAAAAAAAATCCTTATTCTTCCAGCACAAACCACATCTTGTTACCTTTTCTCATTTTCGGAATATTTACCTGCAAAATGTGCAAGTTTATCCAAGGGCACCCTGTAGGTATCTCCCATACATCATTTCAATGAGCGCAGTATATTGGTTTAACGTAAAAGATACATTAATCTAATGAACAGAATTAATTAAATTTAATAAACGGGTTCATTGATTTCCGGATTTTGATACATTAATCCAATGAATACAATTCATCTATTCAATGTACGACATTAATTGGGACCATGTATGACTTACATTAATAGAATGAACATGATGTATCGATTTAATGAATTTACTACATTATTTCAAAGTAACAGGTTATTGTCTATAAGAACGATAATCGAGAAATTAATTAACTGGAATGTATTGTTCCAATAAACTTTTCATTGGCTATTCAATGCATTTATTAATCTATAATCAGGACTAATTGTCACAATGAATTTGTACGTTGGAACAAAATTGATTAAATAAATAATTGTTACAATAATTTTTTTAATAGTATTCACGTATATTTTTGGTTCAGTGTACAGAGGTAGGTACCTACTTTTATATTATATTAATGTTTATGTTTTATAATAAATTTTTATTTTCATGATTTTTTTTTCACAATATATATTATTTAAAGTTTTGATAAACTTTTTAACTCATAATCCTGCTTCCCACTTCTCATTTTAAGCTTCGGATGTCACCTCGGTCATGAGTCAAAAATTACATAGTTGTTCAAAACAAATTCGTGACAATTTTATTTTGGGAATTATGTTACACTATTTTTCCTTGATGCTAAATAATATACGAACATTTATCTTAAAAAAAAACTTGTGAGTTTTATAAGGTATTTTTAAATTATCTTCAACGTCCAATGTCCAAATTCCCGCTGCCATAAGCAGCCATTTGGTCATGCAGTAGAATTTGTTTCCGTCGTTGTTCATTTGGTAATAAATAAAACAATATTTTTTCTTTATACATATTCACTCTGCTATATTTCATTGAAACCTCGATTGAAACTAAAATTACAGTTGCTTGAAGCTAAGTTTGTGAAACATATATCACGCCTGTGTGTAATAACATATAATTATGGGTAATATTATTATAAAGAAAAACCACTATTGTAGCTATCTATTATTTAGAGTAGGTATTTTTTTTTTTTGCTGATAAAATCTTCAATTATTGCGGTTATTTCCAGATATTACGGATAAATAGGAATAAGCCACTTGCATGCGCTAAAAATGTACAAATATTAAACAATCAAAAATGTACCAAAATATCCTTACAGCTTTGGCAGCTTCAAGGGTAATCGGCCCGAAAGGTCCGATATTCAAAGTCAGCTCTCTTCTGGCTCTCATAACTATCATGAAAATTAATTTGCCCACTTTTGAGTCGTAATTGTACCAATCGGATTCGTAAATCGCAAATGCAATGTCTCCACTCTGAGGGCAATTGTATGCAAATTAGATTGGTTTTAAATAATCAACGTTACTTGCCTGTGTTTTGATTTCATCAGCTTGCCAAGATAAAAGAAAGAGCTGGAAAATTAGTAACATTGCGTATGGGATGAAAATTTCAGTTCTGTTGCCCTAAAAGATTATGAATTTTTTCTTTGATTCATGATTGATTAATTTTTTTGAAAGTTTAGAAACTTTTCTCTATCTACCCTCTGAATTCCACACTGATCTTTGAAACCGTTTTCAAGTGAAAAGCAAAATATGGCAATTGAATCTGATCATTTAAATAAATATAAAATTTCGGAATAATCAACTTACATTCATAATCTGTGAAATAATAGAGGCCAACATTAACGATGAAAGGCTGTATTCAATTAGTAAAATTATACTCATGCTTTCATTTAAGTCTTTTATGAACCTGGAAAAAAAATCCCATATATGAAAACTTCTATGTTGACGTACATGATTTTTGGATATTTTCAAAAAATAATACTGTATAATAGTATATAATTGTTTTGTTTTCACAAAAACGATGTTACTTTGATCAAGGATGTTTTTACCTTATTATAAATTGATGTTTCCTAATGAGGTTTTCCAAATTCCTAATAGCCATCCTATTTCTATGCACTGGATCTTTAGAATGAATCTCTTGAGGAAATTTATCAAAGTTCCTAAAATAATACTTCAACATCTTCAATTTAATCACAGCGTATGAAATCATTGCGTTAGTAAACCCCAAACTAGCAAAACTTCCAGCGCACCCTTGTAATAATAGGAAACATTGCAAGAACAATGCTAAGTCAAAGTGATTCTGGACATTGAACGGAAGCCATAGGGAAAGGATGTACTCAGGTTTTTCTGTGGCGTTTGGAAATTTCATTTGATAGTTCCTGTATTGTACTAGGCCTCCATAGAAGCTCATATGAACACAAAACGCAAAGGAATAAGTTACGATGAATAATCCTATCATGTTCACGGATTTTTTATGGCGACAAAGCAATTGGTTTAGTGTTGGGTCTTCACTTGATACGATTTCATCATCTTGGACAGCTGTTTGAAGTAGCTGAGTGGTTTTTCGTAGTGCACAAAGTAGCATTTTCAAAAGGCAAATGTAGTCGCTCATAGCTATTCCTATGGCTTCTATAACTGAAAAAGTTTTATTAATTATATTTGTGGTAGATTGGTTAATTGTATACTTCTAGCAGGATCACGTAAATAAACATAGACGACATTTCCTGAAAGTCCGATGGAGAGAATAGCATAGCAGCACATCATGTACAACTGCCATATTTTGTAAGACAATTTTAAATTTTCTTTTATTTCAAGCTTCCAAAGGCCTGCCCATATCATTATGTATTTTGTGACGGAAAACATTTTCACCAAACTTGAAGCTCAATGATATTTTGTTGACAGAGAGGATTCTTATATAACTATGCAACTATTTAAATCAGGATCGGATTTCTCTGACTTTTCAGACTAGCTCAGTTTAATTAGTTTTATTAATTATTCTTAATGAATTTTAATTATATTGGACAGTTTTAAAGCACGTTTAAGAAGGACAGGTGGTCTTTGGATTATAGTTTTAAATTTTATACCTGAGGAAATAAAGTTGCCTGAATTTATCCCTGCTCGATCGAACTGAAATCATGTAAAGTAATACGTGTCCTATACGTTCATGGATTTAAAATTGCAGGTTCTAGTTATATGTTAATTTGATCTATAAATTTTTTCCAGTCCCTCAAATTGGTATGTAAAACTCTGTAGGAGTATTGTAAAATAACCTTTGAGATAATCACGAATAAATTTTTGATTAAGTCAAGTAAGTAGGTATTCGAAATTGATTTACCATTAAACCATAAATAAAAGCAAATGACAAGGGAATAAAGAGAAAATTGAACATAACTAATTATAATATAGGGATCATAAATTAAATGGGAGAATATACACAACACAAGTTTGGCACCGTGTACAATTTTCTAACATCTAACACCTGTATCGGAGCTAATGCTCCTGCTTTAGCATTTACTTATGTAGGCCAGGCAACATAGGGTTCGTAGGCGAATTAATTCTCGGAAAGCTAGAAATGTTTTAAATCTTTTCATTTACGTAAAAAAAGAGTTTTTTTTTTAAGTTTGCACAAATTTTGTGCTTGTGCTCTATACGGGGTGTCCCAAAAACCTGGATATTCGCTAACTTTTCTCAGTTTCTAACTTGAAACTCCTAAACGATGCATTTCTAGGAAATTTTTACTCTTCTATAAATTAAAGTACACAATTCTGCGTCGAATGAGTACCATATTATACTATGTCTCAAGTGGTTAGGAAAATATGCAAACTCAAACAGCGACGATAATTTCCATTTAAAAAAAAATGGGCTGTTTACTTATTTTCGCAATGTTATCTAAATGTGACAAATGAGATGAAAGTTTTTAACATTTGGATATCCTATAGTATCATACCGTGTATCGGATCGTATATATGCGAACAGTGGTTAACAAAAAATAAATTACAAATACAAACTTATATAACTACAACGTTGACTGGATTTGCTGCGTTTGGGAGTAGAAAGTAGAAACTGACGAAAGCAATTGGTCCATTTTAAGGTGTCGTCATCCAGAAGGTCTTCCAATACGTCATTTTCATCAGGTAGCAATACTTCGTCGTCATTAAAGTTTGGTTCGTCATCGATTTCATCTGGTCTCTGAAAGCAGGATGCTCGTCTGCAGTTAAAAAATATTGGGAAACATTTCTTTCCTTGCTTTTTGCAACCACAAGCATTCCGACATCCCTTCAAACATTTGCACGAGTTATATCAAGCTCCCTTATGTAAAATTAGGATAAGCAATATTTCTGCTGCATAAATATATTGTTGTTAATAAAAGCTTCTTGCACACTCGCGGCCCTCAGTCAGAGTTACGCTTTTTTACGCTTCACATTATATTCGCTTCGATTCGTAAAACTTAAGATTTCGTATTTTGTAATTATAAAAATAAAGTTGGTTTTTAAAAAGCATAAATCGATCGATTGATTTATAACTGGCGCAGTCGTGCGGATGGTCAAAAAATTGATACACCGAGCATCAAATTTTTCGTTACGATTAATTGACCACCAAAAAACTTACGGTCGCAGAAGTTTTCGAGTGAACATCGAATTTCGGCTGTGACCATAAAAAAAAGTGTCGTTGTGTCATGAAATCAATAGTGGATTACTTCACAGCAGCATTTTTGGGTAAAAGGAAATATGGCATTACTTCCAATAATACTTATGTAAGTGCAATTTGTAAATGTCTAATCTTGATGATTTAATCAATTCATTTGAAAATATTAATATGGAAGATAATAGCTCTGACCTACAAGAGAAGTGTTAAATAACGAATCGAATAATTTAAATTTAACTTTAAACTTAACTGCTTTTAGTAAAACTATCTCAAGTTTAAGAGATCAAAATAGATTAAACTTTTCAAATTTAAATACAAATCAAACTAATTTTACTACAGTGGCTCAATTCAAGCCAGAATCTTAAATTGTGTTCCTCAATTTGATAGAAACCCGTGTGAGCTGAATAGATATTTAGCAACTTGTAAATCGATAATCGATAATTTCTATGATACTGTCAACACCGCTGGCTTTAAAAATACTTATTTGGTAAACTCTTTAATTGGTAAACTATCAGGCAACGCAAGATTAGTTGTCAATATTCAAAACGTTTTCACCTGGAATGAACTAAGAGACACCCTTACAAGACATTTCGCGGACAGATGCGATGAATCTTGTCTGAATAGAGATTTAGTTTTAAGTAAACAAAATGCCAATGAAACACCCCAATGCTATTATGATAGAGTTCTTGAAATTTTAAATTTATTGTGTAGCGACGTAGATGCGCATGATACTGTCGCTGCAGCCACAATAAAAAAAGATCTTTATAAACAATTAGCTTTAAAAACAGTTCTGGTTTACGAGAACCTTTAAGAAATACTATTCGTTGTATGTCACCAGTTGATCTAGCCGATGCTATCCAACTCGTTATTCGAGAAAGTAACACCAGATATTTTCAAAATCAACCCCACCAAAATAATAATTTCCAAAATAAACCAAAAACCCAACAAAATCAACAAAGATTTGGCAAACCAGTAACAAATTTTGGTTGTAACCCACCAAACCAATTCAAACAAGCCTTTCCATCTCAACCAATTAATATTAGACCCAATTCTAATATAAGACCACAAAGATTCTTCACTAATATACAAGTATTTGGAAGACCAAAACAGCAGACAAACGTTTTAAAACCAAATCAAAATAAGATCTGTCGGGATTTATGGACCCACGGGGTAACTGGGCCATGGAATATTTTCCGCCGCATCGTTTAAATTCTTTTATTTAACACAGTTGGCTAGGGTTAAGTAGAGCACTACCAACATAGAACAACACGCATAACCTAAAAATCAGTTAAATAGGGCAATCCAAACAAAATGGCGGTCAATGCCAAAAAATTGGCGCCATAAATTTAATTCAAACAACCGTGATATTTTTCATCAGAAAACTGTTTTTTTTTTTGTGTATTTTGTGGTGTTTTCAGAAGATTTTCTAGTACTTGGAAGGATGAGTTTCGTATTTTAAGATGGAAATTTTTTAGTTTAAGAAATTATTAGTGGAAAACCCGGATGTTTGCAAAAGTTATGATTTCTTTGTGACAAACCTTTACCTACTACACAATTAGGTAGGTACTATCCAGGATTTGTTTCCTGTTTAGTTTTTTCTCAACCATATCCTGAATCCTGATGTTTATTTTATTTGGCTGCTATTCATAATAGTCCAGGAGGTGGCGCCAAAAACATGCAAGAGTTTTCGCAAGGCGGATATTTTCAAAATAGGTCGTACTTTAGTGCTAGAATGCTAGTGTACAGTCAGCACTCACAGTTCCGGGACAGCTGGCTCTGGGACGCGGGCAAAGTTGTAATTTTAAGAAGCATCAAAACTGTTTTCTCAATGCTCAAAATTTATAGAAATTTTGTACATTATCTGTTTGAAGGTCACAGATAACGTATGTAAATCGTCAAACGTCTAGTTCGTTGCAAAAAGGGGGTCAGACGTCCTCAAAGTTCTTATTTTATGGCATTTTCTTCGGTGTCCTGTCAAAATATATTTTTGCAGGTATTTGACAAATATATTTGAAGAAAATGCCATAAAATAAGAACTTTGAGGACGTCTGACCCCCTTTTTGCAACGAACTAGACGTCTGACGATTTACATAGGTTATCTGTGACCTTCAAACAGATAATGTGCAAAATTTCTATAAATTTTGAGCTTTGAGAAAACAGTTTAGATGCTTCTTAAAATTACAACTTTGCCCGCGTCCCAGAGCCAGCTGTCCCGGAACTGTGAGTGCTGACTGTACACTAGCATTCTAGCACTAAAGTACGACCTATTTTGAAAATATCCTCCTTGCGAAAACTCTTGCATGTTTTTGACGCCAGCTCCCCAACTATAAGGTATGGACACAAATTTATGTGGAGGATAGTAAATGGCTTGGATCCATACACCGTGTATGTAGAGAGACTTTTTGGTTTTTTAATATGGATTTCGTCAGATTTTTTCTCTTTTGCTACAATCCATGAAGCCCTTACAAACTACAAACAAATCGTTTTTCTCGGTTAAAAACCTGTGTTTTGTCTGTGCAGAAACGGCATGAAACGAGACTTTCTCGTGATTAGAACGGCTCCCACAACTAAGTACAATACATAACGTATGCATTTTCCAAAAAATCAACATTTTACAGACTTTATACAAATCAAAAATCGCAATAGAACGGCATTTTTTTTTTTTTTAAATAAAAAGGCATTGGCCTCCATTTTGAATTTCTTTTTGACAGATCGTTGGATTGCCCTATTTGAAATTTCATGGTGGCAACAAGTTCTGGTAATAAAAATCTAGTAACATCGTACTGTAACTAGTGTTATTTTTAAAGATATCTACCTACAGGTAAGCAATGAAAGATATACAGCGTATACCATTTAAAATGAAACAGGCTAAATATCTGATGCCACTTTTTTTTTTTAATCGCTCGTACACGTAATTTGACTGTGTGAGAGTTGGAAACATTTTCAGCACTAACTTAACCCTCTATTGGGGGGGGGGGGGGGGGGGCGGGCCAAAACCATTACGGGACTTACCATTCCAAATGGAACAGGGGGTCGAGTGATATCTATTTTAGAAGACCGTTTAATTTTCTTTCAGATGACATCAAATGAAATAGAATTGAATGCTTTTTTAGAACAGGTATCACTCGACCCCTTGTTCCATTTAAAATACTAAGGATTGGTCCCACCCCGCCTAGAGGGTTGAAGTTGAAGTA